TTCCAAGCTTCTAGTGGCTGCCACCCGCAGCGTGGAGGTGTGCTGAGCAAGGGTGAATTGTTGCGGACCTGTTGATTTGAAGCCATGTCCTGTGCCGAGAATGCGGGATTCCAGGAAGCTGGACGCCATCATGAGCCACCAACTCCGACGCATTGCTGCGGGAGAAACCGAAAAGGGAGCCAATACTTCGCGAGTTGCAGCCACTCTGAATCCTCATCGCTGTCAATATGGACACTGCGATGCCATCATGCAGAGTTCGGTACAGAGTACGTACACAACCAAGGGTCGCTCTCTCGCCAACCAGTCCGGTTGGCCAACATCAACCTCGCTTCCCGCCGCCATTGCAGTAGAAGTGGAAACAGATGAGGTGGTATTCTGACAAAGTTCCATTGGACTTTCCTCGTCCCTCGTCCAGTCAGTTGTCTCGTGTCGTTCTGCCCTGTGGTTCGGATAGGTAGAAGCGATTTGTTGGGAAGTAGAGCTTCACCCACCCCGGAAGGAACGACAGTATCAGCAGTCTGATATTAGGCGCTCGAATCGCCGTATCGTGGACGTCGAAAGACGAATGGCACCACTTGGCGGCGGGTTTTGCCCACACTACTATACTCAGCCCAGCCTTGGATGCTCTCACAACCACCCATCCGACTGCCGAAATCCGGGCAAGCTGTTCAGCTCCGCACACACATGGATAACCATCCCGACCACTCAGAAGCACGCACAAGTCTGTCCTTCCACATTGCACGACATTCCTATGGAGTAGACGAGAAGACACGGTTGATCACGCACTGTTGTTTGTTTCTCCCAACGGGTGGTCGGAAGTGTAGCCTGCTCTTCGTCCCACGCTGCTTGAGACATGCCTACCGTGCGTGGTCCAGTCCAAGCGAACTCTCGGGACGTTGGAACTGTGGCGAACGTGTGACCACCGGTGAAGGTTTCCCAGTCTTTTCTAGTGAGACTTTTCTGTACACGTGTGGAAACGGTGTAGAGGGCAAGCCATTCCGTGTCCGGTCAAGGGATACGGCGTCAAGTGCGCTTGCTGACGGCAGAGGATGCCACCCCACCAAACACGCTGATTTGTAGGGATATACGAAGCATGTCGTCGTCTTGACGGAGGTTGATGGGTGGCAGAGTTGCTGAGCTCCATGTGGTCATGATGAACAAGGCTCCTTGCAACCAGCATGCTGTGCAACGGCCGGGCAGCGTGAGAGCCGGCCGATGGAGCATCTCACAATATAGAGGAGGGTTTCCGATTCGCATCCAGCCCTGGCCGGGTTGCGGATGTCGACGGATACTGTGTGCTTGGGATCTCGGAGAAGGGCCGTACGGGCTTCAAGCGGGTCTTTGTACTGGACCATTTAGGTCCGTCGCAAGGGAGAACGGCGGCGACTCAGCCGGTCCTATCAAGACATGTACGGTCCCGTTCACGGCCCAGCAACTTGTACCGCGCAAACCGCGGATTGACGCTCCACGTGTAAGTCACTTCTCTTCTCACAAATTCCTATCTCGTCACACAGTACCAGCGGAATCACTGCGCTATGGTTGCACACCGTCCAGGCTTCCACCATGCCGTAAAATGAAGGGCGGTTACTCGGGAGACGCCTTGTCGAAAATTATGGCCGAATATCACAAGACTGCGCAACAATTGCTGTTCCTACTTCCAGGCTATCACAATGGCCAGACGCAAGACTCTCATTACAGGGACGAGCTATCACATGTATTATCATGCCGCCGTCGATGCGCCGTCAGTTCTGGAGACGAGACGCTGCATGACTGGTCGCATGTGCCGAGATGGAGGGGAGCGAACGAGCGGAGAAGGAGGGGGAGATGAGGGGCCTCTGTTTCGTTGAGATGATGAAGGGTGAGGGGGGACGTTGCGCCGTATTCGTTTCCTCCCACAAAACACAAAACAAATATCTCCGCTGTCTGTCGTGTGTGGTTGGTTTGGTTTCCGAGGGTTGAGAGCGGAACGGCAAAGAAATAAAGAAGGGCTTTTGTTGAGACTTCTGGTTGGCTTCGCTGAACCTGACGTTTCTTTTTCCTTCGCTTAAGGGAATGGGCAAACAAGAATGCGGATGGGGTTCTCGGTACCTGACCGATGACGCCGAGGGCCCTGTCGGATGGCTTCCGAAACTAGAGCGTCGATCCTCTTGTTCCCACCCGGTTGGCTGTCGTCAGGAGGAAGAGAAAAAGAAAAGGTGAACGGCGCGCTCGAGACTCGTGGCAGAGATCACAATCACAACGGCAGCGTGGTTTACACGTGCCGACTTCGTGAATGTCTCGGTCGGCGCTTTTTGCTTTCTTTTGCCTGTCTGAAGGTCTTTCCCGGCTTTTTGAGACATTGATGGAAAAGAATCACTGATCAACAACCTCGTGGCAGGATTACGATACAGTACTTGGACTCATCAGCACACACAGTACGGAGCAGTCGGGAAAGACAATCTTTTGATCAAGGAACGGTTTTCGTTTTCAAAACCCCTCCCTACACCCCCGGTTCCCCCCCGTCCCCCCGGAGAGAGCACAAAAAAGAGAAGAAGAAAAAAGAAGCTTTCAGCCAATTATCGAGATGCGGGATCCGAGATTCAGAAGGGGGAGCAGATCAACAGATGCCCACCCGAGCGGACGCAACCATGGGCCGTGCTAAGCGCTAGGCCCTTTTCGGGAACCTCTTCGTGGCCGTGGTTCCGAAGAAAACTCACCACCAGTGCCTGTGAGGCGCTGTAGCTGTGAAGGGCTGGCGCTGTTTTGTGTGTGGTGGATGATGAGGTGTGAGTGGTTCTTTGTGAGAAAACAATCTTGGTTTTCGTCACCCCCACCACGCACTGCTGGGCATCAGCAGCAAAGCGATAATCAACCCAAGTCCCTTTTGCTGCGGGCGCTCCACTCCACCACAAAACGCCCCATATCGGGCCCCCGGCAGCTGCCGCGGCGCGCAACAACCACCACCACCACCACTAACGATGGAACGGCTGGGCTGGGCAGGTCTGGGCTGATGGGGGGAGGAATGAAATGCAGGGACCTGGTTTGGAGATTATTTTGGGTGGTGTTTAGGAAGTAAAAACCGACGTAAGTAGGTAGGTGGATGAGAACTGGGAAAAGGTTGGGTATCATTCTGGGAGTCGGCAAGGTGAGTTGTTGATTAACGAGCAACCAAAAGAACTTCTGGAATATGTGTGAGATTACTACACTACGACACTGCAAAGACAACAGTTCAGCAAGCCGTTGAGATTTAGATTACCTACTAACAAATTGGGAACTTTTGGACAGAGACAGAAGCGAGCGAGAAACGTCACCGTACCATGCCCATCCTACGGGGAGGGGAGCCATCGTGTGTGTAAGGCAAGGTATATCTATCTTGGCATGGGAACTTTACACACAGTGTTACATACATACCACCAGACACCGAACCAAACACCAAAGAACAGATCGCCTCCTGCTCGTTCTTTCTTTCTACATTTCTTCTAGCGCAAAAGCGCGATTTCGGAATCGCGGAAGGCGGAACGGGCAGCATCGCATCGCATATCGAGGGTTATCGTCACATTGTGAGATGCTACGTTGGGGTTGTAGTGGGTGGTATGGGTCTGGGCGTTACCACGGTTCGCTTAATGGGCTTTGGGGGTTTGAGGCCGGATAAGGCCGAGTGAGCAGGGCGGCGGGTTGAAGTTGGAGTGGTGATGGATGAGTTGTGGCGTATGGGTGAGAGAGGGGAAGGATGGGAGATCTTTGGCGTTGTGTCGGGAGGATGGCGAAGTCACGAGCTGGAATGTGATGGTTGGGAGGTAGGAGTGGTGATATCTGGTTGGGTTTGGGAGGTAGGTTGCTGTTGAGGGGGATACGGGGCCACAGAGGAAGGTATGAGGGCATCATGAAAGGGACCAAGAGATGACCTTAACAGGCTACTGACACAAAGCTGGAGACTGGAGTCTTCCTGAAAGGCTTTCTCTCTGAACAATACCTTCTGCTGACATTAACAGGTTGAGAAGAGTCTTTGATCACAAGTCTTGGTGCTCTCAACCGAGATAGACACCGGGCAACATTGTAAATGACACAAGAAGCTGATCCATGCTCTACGTCAAAGAAAGATACGACAACCTCTGGCGCATTGGCAGACTTTCGAGATTGGCGAATGTGTTTGTTGAGAAGCACGCCTTCTGCCACAATGTAGACTTCCGCTTATTCCTTCTGTCTTTCTACCTGTATGGGCTTATAGCTATTTGGGCATTGCAAGTAGCAAATAAAATCTGGTGACAGGCTGTGACTCGTTACGCCCTACACTTGAGATACCTTGAGCTCGGAGAACGCCAGATCTGTTTGACATCGCCCGCAACTTCCGGCAGTGTTTTCTCCTAAGCCTCCAGGTCTAATTGAGCAAACTACCGCAAGCCAAAAAATATGTGCACCTACGTTCAACGACTGGGCCTCGAGCTATTAGTAGACTTTTGTGTTGCTTGACTATCTCCTCCAAGGACGTCTATCTGCCAGGGTTTATCTGTCAGTCAAAACCCTCAATGAAGGATCCCATCAGTCAGGTCACTGCAGGAATATTCTGTCATCGTCGAAACCCATTACAGAGAGTACTGAGTCTCGTCGTCTGCTCAGGCCCCTTTCACTAAAAAGTCTCGATCCAACTAGGTGAGCCGTCTCACAAGTCTAAGCAGCTTCGTGATACCTCCCCTCTATTACAAGTCCAGTCACAGCAACAGGTCTGTTTCACCAGGTTAGGTAAGACTTCCATAGAAAGCTTGCTTACCAAGCTGGTACACAGAGTTTCCCCAATCGCAACGGCGGCAACTCTAACCGGAGGAAACAATAAACGGGACAACATAGGACAGATATATATATCAAGGCTATGTGTGCTTGGCCTCAATATAACATCGTCAGGATTCTCAACACCCTGAAATGCTTTGCCGCTGGGTACTATCACAACAACAATATGCAAGACAAAACAAAGCCAAAAAACCATCATATTCTAGGTAAGGTATCATAAATCGCCACCCCATTTTCTACTCCGGAGGGGCCAAGCCCGTCAACCCCCCAGCCAACCCTTGCATCCTCCTCCCCAGCAAATCATCCGAACTCGCCAACCTCTTGACCAAACCCCCATTGTCACCATCGGCCCTCGCCGTCCTGACTCTTCTCTTCTTCTTTTGCCCCCCCGAACCAGAGCCACTCCCGGACCCGCTATCCGCCCCATCACCCGAAACCGTAACCTTTGGCAGTTCCTCTGTCCCATTAACCTTCCCATTCGTCAAAACCGACGTAGTCGACGCCCTCTCCCTCGTCTTTCCAGGAGCAGCAGAAACAGCAGGGCCCGGCCGCGACCTACTCATCCTCATCTCCAGCCCCCCATCGCCCTCGGTCCCATCCGTCACAGCCGTCGCCCCGCTATCCCTCCTCCCCCTCTGGTGGTGTGGCGTCCGGTTGTTCATCTCCTGAGTATGAACCCTATACTCACCCTCCTCATTCCTGCTGCTTCCCCTCCCCCTCTCTTCCCTCCTCCTCCTCCGTCTCTCCCCCTCTCTAAACCCCTCCTCTATCCAACTCCCCGTCTTGTCAAACAACCCCCATGCAGGCGGGTAAACAGAAGGAAACTGTAAAAACCCATGGCTAATCCCCGGTATGAGCGTCACTTCCGCAAACGCATTCTCGTCGAACCCTTCTGTCAACGCGTCAGTGTCGCGGTATTCGTAACGGGTGCCGTTGCTGGCCATTTGTGCCGCCTTGACGCGGCGGAGGCGGCCGGCGAAGATGACCGTGTCGTCTACCAACGGGTCTCTCTCCCCGGTCAAGAAGTAAGTTTTGGGAAAACGGGACAGCAGGACGTCTGGACACAAAATAGGACACAAAAGGTAGTCTTGGCTGAAGTCGGGACGGTTGTGAGGGCCGACGTAGAGGATGATCATCGCGCGCATCATTTCTGGTGTTAGGACTCTGTCGTTGAAGTAGGAGATCATGCTTGACATTGCGAGGCGGGTTTTGAGGGGGGAGGGGTGGTGGGAGGTGGATGGCTGTTTCTTTTTGCCGGAGGAGGCGGTTTGGTCGAGGGAGGTGGAGGAGTGAGGGGGTGTGGTGGGGAGGGATTTGGGAGACAGAGGCAGGGGAGAGGTAACCGGGGGGAGGTGGAAGGTTGTCGATCCGGCGTGGGCGTATTGTGGTGCGGGAGAGAGACACAGTTCCCGGTTGCGGAGGATAGCATGTTCGTCTGGGTTGAGGTTGGCGGGGTCAAAGTTGACGGCGGTGGAATCCGAGTCCGGAAGGGTACCCGAGCTGATGTTGTTGTTGTTGTTGTTGTTGTTGTTGTTGTTGTCGTTGTTGTTGGTGTTGTTGTCGGGTGTGCCGTCGTCTTCGTCGTCGGATTGGTGGGGGGTGCCGACGAGGTCGTTGTACTGCATTGTCTTGCGTTGGAGGACGCGTTTGTTGGTGCCGCGCATGCGCCGGTCTTTGATGAGGGCCATTTGCTCGTCGCTCATCCAACTGCCGATGTTCATGTCCAATGCTGGGTAGAACAACACCAAAGCTTCGGGGATGGGGAGGTCGGTTTGCCCTTGAAAACGCCGGATCGGACTGCTGCCGCTTTCGGTGATCATAATCGTCATTGCCGTCGCCAATGTACCGCCGGCGCTGTCACCAGTAATGACCACCCTGGGAACCTGCTCCCCGCTCATTCCCACGCACCTCCCCTTTGACCTAATCAACGTGCAGTAAACATCATAACACTCATTCAGCGCGTACGGAAACGGGTACTCGGGCGCCTTTTTGTAATCCAAACTCAAAATCGGCAGCCCCGTCTTCGCCGCCCAAGCAAACAGCTTATCGTCATTGCACCTCGGATCCATAGCCACAAACCCACCCCCAGGAATATCAAGCACAAGCTGGTTATGTCCCTGCTCCTTCAGCTCGCTGAGCGGCCCGTCAAAATACAGCCACCCCTCCACCGGCTCCTTATAATCACTGGTACTCGGCCTAGGTATCCTCACCTGCCTAGGCGGCCACTTTGTCATTCTCGGCCTGACCAACCCCTGCAGCGTCCTCAAATAAGGGGACTCGACCCCCTTATTCCAGCTAACCCTCAGATGATCGACAGTGATATTCCCCCTGACCTTTCGCACCTTTTCATCAGCCTTTTCTGCCGCCACCATGTAAAACAGCGAGAAGACGATACTGGCGGCGTCACGGAGCCATTTTGTCTTGATGGGCATGGCGGTCCAGAAACCTGCGTCTAGGGCGGTGAGGATCCAGGTGGCACGGAAGTAGGTCGCGTCGTACATGTTGGCTAGGGGGTCGGGGGAGGCGAGGCCGACGAGGGTGGAAAAGTTGCGGGCTGAATAGAGGTAGAGCATGGTGATTGTGAGCGTTTGCCAGAAGGTGAGGCGTCTGGAGAGGCATTTTGAGAAGAAGCGTACGATTGGGGGACCGTTTTTGTTGCCTCTGTTTGGGTTGCTATTAGCAAGGTGCTCTGTTGCAGGGCAGAGAAAACATACTTGAGGAGGTAGGCTGTCCAAAATGCCAGGACAGCCAGAACCTGTAGACGGCGGGACTTGACGGATGGTCGCCCCAAGACGTGGTCAATCATGGTGGCGGTTGAGTGGTGGTGGTGACGGCCACCTTCACCGTTGACCGTTGGACGTTGTGTGTTTTGCTAGACAGTCAGACGTTGAGCGGCTTGTGGTGCTATCACGGGCGTTGGAGATTGGAGATGCGGCTTAAGGCGGTTCAAGGGATGGTGGTGTGGTTGCTGACAAGAGACAAGACACAAACAAAGACAAAGTGAAATCTGAGACAAACAAAGAGTTCAAGTTTCGTGGGAAAAATGGTAGGAAGTTCTCGAGACAGTCCGTCAGCAAGGAGCTAGTGTACAAGATAGAAAGGATAGACACGAGATGTGTGTCGAACATGAAAAAAAAGAATGAGAAAAACGACCTCAAAATGGCACATGGCCTGTCCAGCTCCGGCGGTCTAACCTGTTCCCATCTCTGGTTTCCGAGAGTCCAATGAGCAAGAAAAGCACAAGCGGAAAAAGCGGAGGTTTGAACGGGTGACGGGCTGTTTCGTTCCAGGCACTGTCCGCACGAATCATGGCGTCACGGGGTGTCGCTGCTCTTGATCATGCTGAGCTGAGAAAAGGCGGTGCTTTTGGCATGTGATTCAGCCAGGAACTGGGGGCCAGCAGCCTTGTCCATTGCTTGCGTGGGGGTGGGGTTTTGGGGTTGTGCGGAACCCCGACCGAAACCCCGCAGCCACCTCCACTCCCGTTGATTTGCATCGGTTTTTTTGTCTGGGGAAATGGAGTTCAATGCTTCTGTGGACATGGGGAACCTGTTTTCTTACGACTTCGATTATCTGGGCATTTGTCTGTCTTGAATGATTAACAGCCACAGAGGTAGAACAAGGGTTCATATTTGGTGCCGACAGCCATCTGCAGGATCAAGTGACGCACAGTAAAAGAAAAGCCGTGAAATCCAAGACACCGACTGCATGCATCGCCGTCAGGGAACACAGCATGTGCCGACTCCGGGGCAGCTTTGGTTGGAACCTGGCGCCGGGAATCTTGGCTTGGGTGTTGCACTGACAGACGGACCAGTCCTGATTTGGGGCTAGGGCAATGCTTCTTTTTGCTTGTGATCGAGTGTTGGGTTCGTAGTTGTGATATTCGGGCACATTACGACGAAGGCAATTGCAAAGAAAGTGGCAGAAGATCCATTTGTCTGACTGAAAAAGAAGTCTACTGAAATGAGACATCACATGGTGATACTTGAGCTAATCCAGCTTGCACTTGATCTTTCGATAGCTTCGTGTAGCGACAGGCAGACAGCAACTGGATTGTTACTCGAGTCGCAAGCATGTGACTGTGTCTAGGGGACAGGCATATCTGACAATTCATTCTCTTGTGAAACCCAAGTTTAAGGCATCTTCAATAATCACAGGTCAGGCGGTGAGGCTTCTCTTCCCAATGGCTCAGCAAAACCAAGCACACAGTGAAAAAGGAAAACATCAAAAATTGCGACCGGGACGGACCCGAAGGCCAATCCATGACGGAGAACTCCTCGCTGTGCAATGAAGGCTCCCCGCCATACTTTGAGAATTTCTTGATCCTCCCAAAGTCAATCAAGGTAAGTATGAAGAAGAAAAGAAAAGAAAAGAGGAAGAGGATTGGGCGGGAGGGGAGCCCTCCATATATACTCAGGTGTCATGGGTCCGTGCACTTCTGCAAATCCCCAACAGAGTGCGAAATGTCCGAGCGCCCTGTGGATGCCAGCTGGTGAACCGTGCCCTGAGATGAGAAAGACTTCCAGCTGGCAACCTCTTTTGTCTGACCTCATCGGCAGAGGTGGCAGCTCCTTGCTTTGCGCCTTCATCGCCCATCCGCCAGGCCATCGCACTGCACGTCACGCAGCGCAGCCATGCCCGTCACTAGCAGAAATCAATTAAAGAATCATGCGCTGACGCGGACACGATAGCGCCCGCCGCCCGACCCCAGTCACCCCCTATCCAACTTCCACACAGTCGTTATCTTTCCTATCCAGCAGCCACCATGGCCCGAATGTCCGCCGCCTCCTTTCTTTTCGTCGTCGTTTACAACTTTTTCTACTACGCCCTATACCTCGTCTGTATTGCCTTTCTCGTCGTCACCCCCGCCGATCTAATCCAGCAAGCCTTCGCAAAGAAACAAAACTGGAACATCTTGGTCGTCACTGTCTGCTACGTCGTTACTGTGTTGGTCATCTTCTTTATCTACGTTACCAGAATCTACATCAGCCGCAGTGTTCTCTCGTCAATACCCAAGAGCTGGATACCCATCGACAAGGGCGATGTACCGCGCAGTGTCAGGGAGATGATTGTGGAGGGGCTGAGCAGGAGCGCTGCCATTGCTTACGAGGCCAGGCCGAGAGTCCCGCACCCAATAATACAACCAGTAACGACACATACGGGAACTGTCGAAGAGAAACAGAAATCCAGCTGGAGGGGAAAATGGAGGAGTAAAAGCAGTGGAAGCGGAGGGGCCGTGTCTGTCATTGAGGGAGGAGACGCGATTGGTCTCGAAATGGGCATGCTCCCTGATCAAAAACAGCAGCGTGCCGTATGGGGAGACATTGAACACCCTGGATGGTCATCACCGGTATCAACGGGTTTGCCCCCGAACCTGCAGTACTCGACCGTTGTATCCGAACTTCCGAATCTTATCGAAGCCAAGGCGCTCACCCTTGCGCCACCGGATCCAGACTCACGTACCCTGCCTCCAACACTTGACCCAGAAGCTGTCGCCATGTTGCAAAGGCCAGAAGGAGTAGGACTCAGGGAATACTTGGGTCTGTTGACCGAGATGGGAGTTCTGACGGCATCACCGACGACAATCGATTTTTTGTCGCAGTATGAACGAGCCCGATTCTCAGCCAGACCGCTGACCGGTGACGAGTTCCGAGAGTTGATGCATTTGTTTGCTGAAGTTTTGAGAAGCATGCAACCTTTTGATCCAGCCCTCGCTTATGACGATTACGACGATGACTCGTTTGATGATGGAATCCCACAGGGAGAACGAGAAGGCGAACAGACACAGTCAGAGAGTGATATTGATAACGATGCGCCGAGAGGAACCAGTCCTTCTAGTGCAGGGCAGAGTTTGCATTCGGGCTTGGGTCTGGGGATAGGGATTGGTCAGAATGCCGGTGGTGATAACGACAGTCTGGGCGGAAAAAGCTCCAGTGCCTCAACGACATGGAGTCAGGGTCGTGGTTCAAGACATCTGAGACCTGGGATGGGAGTGCGAAACTCATCTGCCAACACCTGGCTGTACCAGACTGCGCCAACAACGCCAAAAAGCACCAGACATGCTGGAGTGTCCGATTCCAGTGGCGACAGTGACGCAAACTCGTTTGCGCAAACCAGACATCCGTACCAAGTTGACGGCACCAGCGGCAGTGGCAGTGGAAGAAGTGTACGATCAGTAGGAACAAACGGAAGCGGAGGATCAGTCATCAGGCTGGCTGCCGATGGGGATGGAACAGACTTGCCATATGTGTTTACCGGTGTGAACTGAGAGAGTGCTGCTTATTATGTAGGATTATGGGACGAAGCAAGGCGTTTTTGGTAGGACTATGGTTAGTAGATGTAGGATCTTTTTGACGTAGTATATAATGATAATGTATTTCCAGGTAATTACTCCTGATATCAGGTTTGATGTTCATGATGCGCCACATGGAAGACAACAAGCCACTTTTACATCAGCAAATATCCGGTTTGCCAAGACAGCCACCCCCTTGTGCCCCCACTTTTGTTAGGGAAAAGGGGTAAACAAAACATGGGGTTGCTATGTGAGGTTGTGCTACGGGCGGGAGAGACTAAGACATTACACAGCATTGTTGAAGCGACATAAAAGGTTTAGGGAAGAATGATGAAGGAGCTGTTTGCTTAATGAAACTAAATGTACGTGGATAAAGCATGTTCGATATCAGATGTGTCATGGACAGATGCGAGGTTGGAGCTGACTGTGTGATTTTTGGGGCGATATTGGGAAGGGAAGATTCAAAGAAGTCTGGTGAAGTCGCTTGAGGGGATATGTGTAATTTGTCGGTAGGACAGAAAGCTGTCTTGCAGCTGTTGGGAACAACTCTTGTTAGGACCGGTACTGAGACGCATTCCGACTTCTTACAAACAGATTATAACCACACGACTAGAGAAACTGCATCTTCTCACCCAAGAGACCACGGGAAAGTACGCCGCCTTTCTGCTTCCTCCCAGCGTAATCCCAACTCAACCCATATCCCCATGATTGCTGGGACAGCAGGAAATTTACACTCGAGGTCTCGGACTATCATACTCCCGTTTAACGAATCCTCCTTTTTCATCCCCGAGCTTCGCGACCCTGCCACTGCCCAGACCTACCTGGGGTCGTTTCGCCACGAGCACCGACAATACCTCCAAGGTAACAAAGGTTACCGTTAGGCCATGGCAAACATTCACCATTACCGCTCTGGAGCCCCTGCTCTCGTCGGATAGGCCTAGGGCGGAAATCCCGCTCCCGGGCGCTCCCGAACGCAGGCTGCCAGAAGGGACCAATTATTATGAAGCTCGCCGACGGGACCTGTACAGTTAGACAGGAGCTTCTCGACACTGTAGTACCATCCACACCACGGTACGATAACCTCAGACGCTACCCCGCGGCCGTCCCCGGAAATCCGAAGTCCGGCGGTTGGGCTTCGAACTGGAGAAGGATCTGACGATGGGGTTAGTTCGTGTTCTGTAAGAGGGGGAGTTTGGGAAGGAGGGTGCAGTGGCGGGGTCGGGTTTGTAGGTGACTTTGGGGAGGGGATGGTGAGATTGATGTTGTTTCGAGGGGTGATGTGAGGGGGTTGGCTGGGATTGAGGTCAATAGCTAAGAAAGATGAGGGATGGGGGGAAGATGGTGTTGGGGTCGGCTTAAATCAACGGGATACTGGGATTGGACTGGAAAAAGACTTTGTCTGAGCTTGTCTAGTAACAACTGTGGGGCTTTTATGGCTGGATCGGGACTGTTGATAGGGCTTATGGTAACTTTGTTGGCTTTTTACGATTATACGGAGCAGGTTTGTTTTTTACTGTTTTAGTCGAAGGGTTTTTCTTTTAGTAGAATCTGCCGTTATAGCTGTTCCTTCCGGATTAAAGACTATGCAAGTCCCACCTCAATCTTCTCCTTGCGGCTGCTTATACATCATCTCTTTCCCTTTCAACCTTTTCTTTGTGATTTTCTTGTCGCAGTTGCTCTTGTTCGATGCTTCTGTCTTTGGTGGGTCTGGCTTCAATGGGCCACTATCTGAGCAAACAAGAACTTAAAATTACCTCGTGCCTTCGGCACAGCAGTTATCCTGGGAGGTTATTCCTGTTGTTGAGTGAGGGTACCAAGCCCTGTACACTGATGTGAGCGACATATCGCCTTGACCACCCAGCAGCTTTGGTGTATCAAAACCTCGACGGCTCCAATATGACGCCTGAGTCTGCTGACGATTTAACTCGAACATGGTGTCTTCTGGCATGTGCTTCCGTCGATAATGTTTGAATTCCGTGACCCATAACGGAATTGCGGTAATACCTGATGGTAGTCTGGTTCAGTGGTCTGAACAGTTCCTCACACTCGTTATCTCGGCGATCTGGAGCAGCTCAGCACCCTCGGTTTGATTGTAATGATTTCCTATGTATCTTGACGTCCTGATTCAACTGTTGCTATCCCTCCTGTGTATTCCATGTGTGCACATCTCGAGTCTCATGTCCGTAATCACCAGTCCGCTGCTCCATATTCCCAGCTCACACCACCCACCGCCGGCCTCTCACCTCCGGCCATCACCAGCCCCCATCCCCAGTCCCCATCCCCAGTCCCGCCAGCTCCTTCCCGCTTGCCTCAGCCGCTGTGAGTCACCCTCCTCAGCAGCCCCAGACCCGCTCAACACCTGGCAACCACCCCGGCACCCTCCCCGGCACCGGCGGTCAATCCACACCGGCTTCCGGTCCCACAATTCTGGCCACACTGTCGCCAAACCGGAGCTACCTCCGAAAGTTTCCGCCGGTCCTCCCTCCCTCTCTCTCTTCTTCTTCATCCGCAACCAAAAAACGACGCCGGAACCGCCGGCACCACCAACCACCACCCACCAGCGACGACATCCCCGTAAGTATCTTCGCTTCCACGCCCTGCTCTTGATCAGCTGGGACCAAAATATCTCGTCTGCTAACGCTTCAACTTTAGAAGAAACTCGAATAAAAAATGAGCGGGCAATCCCCCACCGGGCGCGAGACCTTCTCGCTGCTCCCAGCGGCCGCGGGCTCCCCCTCCCGCAGCGAGTCGACTCCCTCTCTCTCCGGGGAGGAGGCTCAGGTGCTCGAGGCCGTGGCCATTTCTGTTTCTCGGCCTCCTGCTGCTGTTGTTGTGACTGTTGGGATTGCAACAAGGGCGGTGGAGGCTGGGGAGCAGACTGGTCCGTCGGCCGCCGAGGCGGATTCTGACTCTGAGACGCTCATGGGCGAGGAGGAGGAGGAGGAAGCTGAGGCGGACAGCTCCGGGTCGTCTTCGTCGGGGGGCGCTGCTACTCGCAGTAGCTTTCTGACTCCGGGGTGTGACCAGGGGATTGGGAAGGTGCTCGAGGATTTGAGGAAGGCGGAGGAGGCGAACAGGCGGGAGTGGGAGGAGAGGGGGAGGGCGAGGGTGGAGAGGGAGGAGGAGGTGAGGAGGTTGACGGGTAGGTTTTTTCCTTTTTCTCTTTTTGTTTGATTTCATCGTGGCTTTCTGGATTTGGAACGAGTCAGTTTTGACTTGGGCTTTTGTTGCTTTGGACTCGGCAAAGTTGCCTTGGGGTGGACGAGCACACTCACCTTGCCTTTTGCTTTTTGTTCCATCTTCGAGTCTGGTCTCAATCCCGGCAAGTAGCCTTGAGATGGAAGAACACACATACCTTTCCTCATCCTCGAGTCTTTGGCATCGGCCTCGTGCTCAGATGGTTTGGGGCAATAGCTGGACTTGGACTTGGTCCAAGCAAGGTTGATTGCTCGGGTTGCTCTAGCATCATTGCTCTTCGACAGCATGGCCGTTTGATGCTTGACCCTTTGGCTTTCCCGTTCCTTTCTTTTCATGTTTCTTCCAATTGTAGCCGCCGACTTGACTTTGATTCAAGGTTGGTTGCTTGCTCGGACGGTGTTGTTGATTGTTGACTAGGCGATCTCACCATGATCAACTTGTTTCCCTTGCCTTTCGTTCCATCCTTCTCTCCCGAGTGGGTGGATAGCTGGTTGGATTTCTGTTACAGCTGTGTTCCTCTTTTAGTTAGGATATAGAAAGAAGATCGAAGTCAGGATGAATGGTAACGTCACTTGCACAGAAGAGAGAACTGCGGCGGTGGTTGGGTGGCGTGCTGGCGTGGAAGTTGAGACGGGTGAGCCGGTACGTGAACAACGACAACAATGCCTGCAGTAATTACAGTGCAGGCCTAGGGAGCAGTCACTGATGGGACAATAGGTGGTGGCAGGGAGCGCTGGGGTGGTGGGACCGCAAGGGTCTGCCTTAAAAGACGACCTCGACGCTCCTCGGCAAACACTCTCCTCTTCACAACCCGGCGAAGACGAAGCGTGAGTGTCCCGACCTCCCTCCCGCCCTTTTGACTCGATCTTTTTGCTAATATCACCAAGTAACAACATGGATCCAAGAGAGACCCGTCGCCAACTTGTTGGCAACCTCAAGGAGGCCACGGCCAGGCGTGGTAAGTTCAGTTTGCATGCTCTTCACTCTGACACCCATCCCCAGCCCTCGACCATGGCGGGACCTTCCTCTGTGTGGTCGCCCTCTGAACCCCCCTCAGCCTACTGCCTTGTGGAGCTTGGACCACCCGAGAGCTCAAGTGAGTTTGAGAGTATTCTAGCTGTTTTTCTCGCGGGGCTTTGGAGAGTTTCCCTTTCTCTCTTCATCACCAACAGCCCAAAAAATGGACGGCCGCTTCGAACAGAACGTCACCAGCGGCATCCTTTCCCTTGCCGCTGGTGACGATGACTTCACCCGTCACCGTCCCGACCCCATCAACGTCCAAGCCGCCCAGGCCCACGCTTCTCGTTCGGGTTCTCAACGCCCAGTCGCGGTTCACAACCCGCCTGAGGCTGCGGAGAGAGCTGATAGAGGTCACTTACCCCCTCCCCAATCTGTTGTCTTTCACACCTTTGCTGCGACCTTTTCACCCACTGTTTGCTCGCTCACCCTCCCCTCTTCTTTTTTTCTCTTCTTCCCTTCTTCACTCAGCAACAACACAACGACTTGGTCAGCCTGCTAACATGAAGCCGACAGACAACAACAACGAGATGTCCCAGACATCCGCAGCGGAGGGCTTCGGCCGAGTCGGTGGCCCTGGGGAGCGCCCGGGCAGCATAGCTGCCTCGTCTGTTTACTCAGACGACCTCGCTCGCGGGGAGGGTCAATCTTGGGGACCCACTGGTGATGACGCAGATCCCTTCACTGCGTCATACACCAACGAGGAGGGGGAGCGATTCCCCTCCGAAATTCAACCGCTCCGGGTTGGTCTCGCTGACCAACCCCCTTCCGGCCTGAAGCGCTTTTCAGCGCTTCAAAACTACTCGTACCCGGCGACGTCCGCTCGCCATCAGAGCATCCTTCGGGATTACTCCGCCTGGGCGGCCGAGCGCGGCCCTGGGCATGATGACGGTATGAATCGTCCATCTCATTTCATGTTCTTTTCACTTTTCATCCCGGTCGCTCCTCCGAATTTCATTTTCGCCAACAGTCACTAACAAGCTTTTGGGCAGAAGGGTGGTCCAACTGGGACTACGAGGAGGCGAGAGCCAATGATCTTCGGATCTATGGCGAGGAAGACTCTGGCGAGGGTCCTTCCGGCGAGCAGTCAGACTCTTATGAGTCTATTTACGCTTGCTCCTCGCCCGACCCCGGGAAAGTCTCTCCCTCGGGAGAACCCCAAGCTCTCCCCCAGCCGACGAGAGCTCACCAGCACCACCAAGAGTCAGCTGACTCTTCTCGTCTTCTTCCTCCCCGCGCCGACCTCCAAGGCCGGGACGACTCACCGCTCGACCAATACATGCCGGTCGAGGCCCAAGCCGGCCCCTCTGCGCCTCGGCGCACGGGCACCAAGAACCTCTTCGGAGATGGCGGTTGGCTCGCTGATACCAGCTCCTCCGCGCAGCAGACCCCAGCTCAAAAGAAGCTGGAGAAGATCGCCGGTCCCAGGAGGAGCCCGAACAAGCCCAAGTCCCGCTTCCTTGGCGGCTTCATGAAGAAAGCTCGCGGGATCGTCGAATCACCCTCTCGCACCTTCGGCCCCCCGCTTCGCCGCTCGCCAGCTTCGATGCCACAGCCGCCTCGCAGTGGTGAAGAACCTCCCACCCCGCCACCCCACATCCCTCGCCAGTCTCAGCTCGTCATCTCCCTCAGCCCTCGCGAGCAATCCCTTATTTACTGTGAGCTCGACTTCGCCATCGCCGACGCTCTCAACGACTACATCATGTCGCAGTTCAACCTCGGCCGAGTTGATCATGCCACTATCAAGAAGACCGCCGACGAGTGGGCCAAGAAGGGTTTACCCAAAGTCAAGGGCTTCCGCTACGACGTCGACACCCAGTTGTCCATCCTCCGCGCCCATATCGAGCAGTTCAAGTTCTACGGTCAGGCCGCCACGACCGTCCCGTCCATGCTCGGCATCATCGACACCATGAGGACCACGGCCCGCGAGATGCGTCTCCGCACTTACTGCGTTCCTGATGTGGTGATTAGCAAGTGGCTCTAGGACATCACTTCCTTCTTCGCCTTCATCTCAGTCGAGCGCCATAGAATCGACCTCCTCCAAACGGCCAAAGCCTTCTTTGAATCCTGCCGCGCGCGTGAAATCGCCCCCAGCCAGGACTCGCTGACACGCATCGACGAGTGATTCCGATGCCTATTTCGACTGGTTCCAGGCCTCTCTGCATTATCTGCACGCCTATACAAGTCTTTTCAACACCTCTCTGCATCACAAGAAGGCCTATTCGATGATCTTTCGAACGCCTATTAGTTGCGATTTGAGGCATATTTACATCAGTTTGAGGCCTATTCGATTTATTTCGACGCCTATTTCGTTTATTTTGAGGCCTGTTCGATGTTTTTCGACGCCTACCGAGTTTAGTTTGATGCCTTTTCAGTTCAGTTTGGCACCTGGTTGATTTCTTTTCAAGGGTATATTTGCATCAAACGAAGGGAGGAGGAGTGGAATGGAAGGGAGGAGGGGTTGCATGGAAGGGGGGAGGAATTGCATGGAAAGAACGGAGTCTGGAGGACATGGAAAGGATGGAGGGCATGGAAATTTGATTTTGAAAACTTGTTTGGGATCGGGCATTGCAAGGTGTTGGGGATAAGCGTATACACATCAGTTGAGATGGAAGATTGCGTTTGAGGCTTTGGATGATCAGTGTGATGTGTAATTGTGTCTCGTGTGCATGTGATGTGTGATCGATGTCTATTGCGCTGTGTGCTAGGTGTGCAATGTGCTTTTCAATGCCTCCATTAATTTGTCCAAGGCCTCGATTGATCTCTTGAAAGGCCTCAACCTCATCTGTCGCTCTGAAAGTCACTGCTATTGTCCCGAATGACTCCTTCAACCTGTGAATAGCTTCATCGCTTGAATACCCCAACATCCAGACACACCACCATCTGGACCCCAGCCCTGCGATAACTCCCATGTCCTCTTATAGTAAAACTCTTGATGGTGTGTTACACCTCACGTGACGAACGAAAATAACATTTGATAATGGTGTTGGTGATCGCCCCGTTTTGAAGCAGGTTTCGCTTGACGCCTTCGGTGTGACATCATAGGCCAGACCCCCATCACCAACGACCTCATCAGCCAAGAACGAAATTCCATTTTCATAACCACAACGTCAGCACCTTTCAGCCGCCTTCCTTTTCGCACAAATCAAGAATTCTGACCTTCATACACTAGGCACAGACGAACCCTTATTTCAGTCGGTCGCTCCCTAGTCCCTGCACCAGCAGCCGTTCAAGCTCTGATCATCCATCCCCTAGCTCACATTCTCCATCTCATCACCCACATTCAAAACACACACCACAGAGAGAGGAAAAAAAAAATGCCACGATCTTACCGCTCCGACAGCTCCCCCGAGCGAGAAAGAGAAGACTACCACCGCCCCTCCCGTCACCGCTCCGTCACCCCCGGCCCCAACACCCGCGGTCCTTCCCGTCCAAGAGATTACTCCCCCTCTTCCCGCGGAGGGGGCCGCGCAGACGAGTACTACGCCTCGGGCGCTTTGCAGGAGCGACACCCCCACTTTGAATACGAAGACCACACCCCCTTTTACCGCCCCGACCCACGCGATCGTGATACGTTGCAGATCCCGCGTGACGGCTATCGCCGGTCTTCTAGGCCGAGAACAACCCGCACCAAAACCGATGATAGTTTGACAACGGGAACGACGTATACAGGTGACACAACCACCATCATCCCTCGCTCTAGCCGTGGCCGTTCCAGATCGTCTAGCAGTTCCTCTTCGCGATCTTCATCACCAGACATCCACCACCGCAAACGGGGTCCGATTCGGCAGGCGAAGAAATCGCTTCAGGAAACTTTTACTCCGTCTACTTCTGGCTTGGGGGTTGGGGTTCTAGGTGCTATTGTTGGTGGTCTGGCGGCACGAGAGGCGGTGGAGCATTTACCTCCGAAGTCGAGATCAAAGAGTAGATCGGGGAGTCACAGCAAGAGTAAGCATGACAAGGTTGCGGTTCTGGGCACGGTGCTAGGGGCGGCGATTGGGGGGTTGGGGGCGAATGCGATTGAGAGGCATATTGAGAGGAAAAAGGGGATTGAGGAGAGTTGGGGACAGAGGGAGGGGGAGTTGGCTAGGTTGGAGGAACGGGTGAAGGAGGCGGAGGGGGGGAGGGATAGGGAGTATGAGAGGGGGAGGAGGTACTGATGGGGGTTTGTTGAGGAGTGGTTATGAGGTTATGATCTGATGATAGGGGTGGCTTTTGGTTTGTTTGGCGTTGGTATGAGTCAGGGATGGCATATCTATTGGAATTTCTGTTGCCACTGCTGTATGCTGGAATGACAGTTTTCTGACTCATCTCCCAGTGTTCTCTTCTACCAAATGACCCCATCCTCCTCCATCCAGTGATGAGTGATTAGACGTCAGTGCAAGACAATGTCTTGATATTGGTCGTCTGCCAAGCCCTTGTCGTAATCACCGCCCGTAAAACCATGGAGAAAGCCGTTACCGATGACCATGTACTGCGGATAGTCATCGGTGTCTCAGTCCCCGATCTTGACATAAGAGTTGTCAGGGTCAGGTTCACGGAGAGGACGGAGGATAAAGGGAGCCGGGCACCCTGGGATGACGTGGATCTCGTCGTTCTTCTCTGCATCCCTTGGGCACAGGCCGAAGGGAGCGGTTGCGTCATTTGTGAGGAGAAGCTTGCGCTCCCAGAGACGGGCCAGAAGGTGGTAGACAAGCTTTGCTTGCTTGGAGACGACCGAGTCATGTAGGCCAAAAACGCTGGGAAACTGTCCAGAAGACACCCTCGACTGAAGCGTCTTCCAAAGCTCCAGTACCTATGGAGAAACTTGGCAGTAGAACCCGATGGATTAGCAAGAGGGAACCTTTACGGAGCCCCCTATTTGTCTTACCAGCGTCCCCCTCCATACCTACCTAGGTACCACAGCGGGGCAATATGGTGCCAGAGCACGAGGTCCAGGCCAAACATCCTATCTGTAAAGGTCTTTTAGCTATCGTTTAAGGCCTTTAGATTTTTTTTAAAGACCTCTAAACTATCTTCTACGACCTGTAAACTATCTTAAAGGACCTTTAACTATCCTTCAAGGCTTTTTAACTATCTTGAAGGGCCTTTCGCTATTTTTTTAAGGCTTTTTAACTATCTTTAAATGCCTTTAAATTATCTTTTGAGGCTTTAAAATTATCCTTTAACGCTTTTTGATTATCCTTTATGGCCTTTAAATTATGCTTAAAGCCTTTAAACTATCTTTTAAGGCCTTCAAACTATATTTAAAGACCTTTAAACTATCTGGTGTGCTTACAAAGATCAAAACGCGCCCTTATTTCCCTAGTGCAGAGCAATCTTCTCCTCCGCCACCCCCTTTCCGAGTCCACCATCACCACCCATAAACCCATGGTAGAACCCATTCCCAACCACCATGTACTGCGGCAGCGCATCGCTCTCCCAATCGCCCAACTGCCAGTTCGTATTCACATTGGGGTCATCCAGTCTCCGAAGAATGAACGGCGCCGGGCACCCTGGAATAACATGCACCTCGTCGCCTTTCTGCGCATCCCTCGGTGCCAGACCAATCTTGTCATCATTTCCCGTGACGAACAACCTTCGCTCCCAGAGGCAAGCAAGAAGGTGGTAGATCATCTTCGAGTCGTGGGAGACAACCAAATCATGGACTGCATCTTGGTTGCTGGCCAGGGCCATGGCGCGAATAAAGTCAGAGGCAAAGTCGGAGATCCATCCAGGAACCCAGGTGGGAACCCATTCGTCAATGATCGGTTGGATGTTGAAGGGATCGACGCCAACTTCTGTCTGAGGCTGCGGGGTGGTGCCCTCCGTGGCAGGAGCAGGACTCTTGGGACCAGGACTCTTAGGAGCAGGATTAACCAGATCCCAAAGCGACCTCAACCTCGAATAATCCGATTGCTCCTCCCCCTCCGAAGCCGTCGTCGGACGCCCATACGATAGACGATCCCCATCAATCTCGGTCGAGTCGTTAATCATCGTCCTCCAAAACGCATCCGTCCTCTCATCATTAGTCCCCGGATCCTCCCCCCACCCCTCCCTCTTTACCCCCGCCAACTCCATCCACGAGCTCAACACCCTCGGCACGTCCAACCACCGCCCCTGATCAACCAGCACCTCCCCGACCCTCCCAATAACCCCCACCCTCCTCGACTTCGTAAGCAGTATCCCATTCTTCGTCATCTTCAAATACTTGACAAAAACCTTCCTCGCCCTCTCCTCCCCCCCCTCATCAACAAAACTCGCATAAACCGCCAACCTCCTCCTCTCCATCAACGCCCACTTGGGCGGGAACGTACAAAAGCTCGCATCCGCCACCCAGCTCGGGACATGCAGCCTTCTGTAACCATCCTGCGGCCTGAACAACCTCTCCCCCATGAGCAACTCCACCCCGTCACTCTCCCCCTTCACACACGCAAACACCGCCTCCGTCAGCGCCTGCCTCAACGACAAGGTGTAATCCGGCCTGAGAAAATTCTTATTCGTAACGATGCCCAAAAACCCGTAAAACGAGTCCCTCTTCCAGCTCACCTGCGAGCCGCAGAACTTGCGTCGGAGCTGTGTGAATGTAATAGGGGTTTTGGCTTCCAACTTTTGCTGGCGGGTGGTGACCATTGATGAGATACGTTCTTCGATCGTGACGATGGTGTCGAACCCCAAACCTCGCAGGGCTAAACGGTGGGTTTTGCAGCATTTGGCCGTCGAGTGACGGGTTAGACCGTCGACTGCGTTTTGGAGGGTGAGGTAAGGGAGTTCTTGGTCCGCGAATAGGAGGGTGATGTCGGAGGGGAGGGCGAGCTCCTGGATCGTCCAGGTGCGTTTCCACCATTCCAGGTCGAGGAGGGCGGCGAAGGATTCGAAGTGGGGTTTGTAGGAGTCTTTGATGTCGGCGCGCTTGCCTTTGGTGAGGGGGGTGAAGCAGGGGAGGTCGGAGAGGTGGGTGGTGGGTTGGGAGAGGGCGGCGAAGAGGTTGAGGAGCTCGAGGGCGGAGGCGGGGGATGAAGGGGTGGTGGCGGTCACGTCGGCTGGTTTGGGGAAGTCGCCTAGCCTGGGGGATGGTCAGTACGGATTATGTCAGGGCGAGGAAAGGAGGGTCGTACCAGATGAAACACCTCCCGCAGTACTTGTAAATATCCCCTATCTTGCCCACCTGCTCACTCTTCTCCACTGGGTTCCCCTGGTCGATGCATATGGCGTCAATCCAGAACTTCTTCGGCTCGGTCTTGTGACGGATCCGACGCAGGGCAAGCCAGAGGTTCTTCCGGATCTTGAACTGGGTGTTTTCGTTCACGGTGATGAACTGCTCGTCGTCTTTGGTGCCCCAGGCATACGACAGAGCGTCAAAGTGGCCGTATAGATCAGGGTCAAACTCGAAGATGTCGACCCTGCAGACGACGGGAGCTGTGTCGTCCTCGCTTGGCTCTAGGGTGAGGAGACGGACTTCGGCTGGGTCGAGGCCGAGGGGGGTGTAGGCGAAGCCGGATTTCCTGTAGCCGGCCCGCTGGGGTTGGGGGGATGGGCCGAGGGGGGTGGGCATGGTGATTCAGAGTGGTATGCAATTCTCAAGTTTGAAGTGATCAGGAAAGATGAAGATGAAGGTCCCTGTGAAGGACATGTTGCGTTTTTAAACCCCACACTTCAACTCAACGACGCTGCCGCCCAACATTTCTTCAACCTCTCTCGATATGTGATGGACATTAGACCCGGCCAGACCACTCCGACAGTCCAGGTCTAGACCTGAAGCGCGCATTCAGCCAGCCTCCAGCTCCCAGGTTGTCAATAGTTGATGCATGGAGGTGGAGTCGAGCAGGCAAATGGTAGGCCATGATGGTCAAAGACTTGAGGAATCAGAAAAGGAGTGGGATATCGACTCAATAATGGTACGAAGGTATGTAACCAACCCTTCTACCGTAGTGATTGGATAGACAAGCCCAATATAGAAATAGCTATCACATCGATAGACATGGTAATTTCGATCGAAATGTTACAAAGCGTTACACACCCCACCTCATGTCTTGGCCGTTGACGGTTTGCGGGGAGGTCACGTGGCGGTTACACCCCAACAGCAGGGGTACACCGCATGGGCCGACGCTATGCGACGTCACTTGCAACGGCCGGTGGGCTGAGCTCCAGCTGTTGCTCTTCTCTCGATGCATTCACAGCTTCGAGTTTGATGGATTGAACCCCTCTTTTGCTTTTCCAACTCAAAATATCCAAAATGTCGAGACTGGCGACCCTCCCCCGACGACTGGCTCTCCTCCGCCCCCTAAGGAGGACGACATGCACCGCCAGGAGCTACTCCACAGCATCCGAGCAGCGCCTCGACAACCGCGTCAAGATCGTCGAAGTAGGGCCGCGCGATGGCCTCCAAAACGAAAAGAATATCGTGCCGCTGGCGACAAAGATTGAGCTGATTGAACGACTGGCAAAGACCGGGCTTCAGACAATCGAGGCGGGTTCGTTTGTCGCTCCGAAATGGGTGCCACAAGTATGCCGCCCCCTTTCCAACAACCCTTTCCAACTCCCTAGATGCTTACCATATGAAAAACAGATGGCCAACTCCTCCGAAATCCTCTCCCACATCCTCACCACCCCACCACCCTCCCCCCACCCCCTAACCTACTCCTTCCTCGCCCCCAACATGAAAGGCCTCTCCAACGCCTTCTCCATCCTCGACGCAAACCCCTCCTCTTTCTCCACCGAATCCAACCCTTCACCATCAAAACCCTCCCTCGAAATGGCCGTCTTTGCCTCGGCAACCGAAACCTTTTCCCAGAAAAACCTCAACGCCTCCATCGCCGCCTCTCTTGAAGCTTTTAGGGCGGTCATCTCCGCCGCCAAGGAAACACCCTACAACCTCCGCGTCCGCGGCTACATCTCCGTCGTCCTCGGCTGCCCCTTTGAGGGCTACGACGTCTCGCCCCACCGCGTTGCTGAGATTGCTACCGGGCTGCTCGAGATGGGAGTGGACGAAATCGCGCTGGGTGATACGACAGGCATGGGCACTGCGCCCAGAACAAAGGACTTGTTGAATTGTCTGAGGAGCGCGGGGATAAGGAATGAGGATGTGGCGATGCACTTTCATGATACGTACGGGCAGGCGCTGGTGAACACGGCTGTGGCGTTGGAGCATGGGATCAGGACGTTCGATGCTAGTGTTAGTGGGTTGGGGGGTTGCCCGTACAGCCCGGGGGCTACCGGGAATGTGGCGACGGAGGATATGGTGTATTTTATGGAGAGTTTGGGGATGGATGCGGGGGTTGATTTGGATGGGGTGGCCGAGGTGGGGGAGTGGATTAGCAAGGAGTTGGGGAGGGGGAATGGGAGTACCGTTGGGAGGGCGGTTTTGGGGCGGAGGAAGAGGAAGCAGGAGTGATGAGGAAGAGGGGGGATGTACATACATGCATAGGTTGATTTGGAGTTAGGGTATGAGGATCATGAGGAAATGAATTGTCAAGATTGGTTTATTTTATTTCGCTTTTCCGAGAGGGTGTTGCTAGTCTTCTTTTGCAAAGGTGTTGGCTACGATGAAGGGGAAGGCGGCTGTGGCTTCCATGTAGACCTGTTGCGATGTTAGCTCTGCTGTCTGTCTGGTTGATGAAGAAAAGAAGAACTGACCTTGACTGCATCAGCACCGATCTTGATCTTTCCCCAGCTGACCGCCTCATCTGGTCTCGCACCGGCGTCACTGCCGTCAAACTCCTGAGCCGTGTTAACATACACGGCCGACTCGGCCCCGTTTCTCATCAAGCACGCATTGGCTATGTGGTGCTTCACAATCCCGCCTCCCAAAATAATCATGCCTGCCCTCTTGGCCCTCACAGCAATGGTGTTGATCTTTCTGATATCTTCGACGATATCCACCCTCAACTGCTTCGGCGACGCCTTGAACGTGTGGAAATACAGCATATCCCCCAAACTCCCATCCGTCAGCGCCGGGCAGAAAACAGGGATGTTGTTCTTGTACGCCCAGTAATAGACGCTCCTCTCATCGTTGATCTCCTTGCCCAACCGGTGGATAATCTTGGAGGGCGTCCAGTTGATCTCGTCTTCGGTACCCTTGGAGGCCTCCTGCTCCTCGAGCATCCTGTCCAGGATGGGCACGACCCAATCTTCAAACAGGCAGTAGTTCTTGTTGGGGACGACGAGGTTCCCGATGCGGTTGAGCCCTTGCTTGCGGAGGGAGGAGCCCTCGGCGGCGAAGGAGGAGAGGTAGGTGTCGCCGAGGCACTTGATAAAGTCCTCCTCGACGCCGCCGGCGGTGGTGACGATGGCGGAGATGTGGGAGTGCTGGGCTAGGTAGCGGAGGGTGCCGCGGAGGCCGGAGGAGATGAGGTTGGAGGTGTAGCCGAGGAAGATGGTGGTTTTGGCCGAGGGGTCGGAGGGATCTGACCAGGTGCGCATGTCGTTGATTATCCGGACGGCTTCGCACATGGAGGAGGCTTGGAAGCCCATGTGCTTCATGCCCTGGAGGAGGTCGTCGACGGTGATGGGCCGGCCTTTGAAGGCGTTGAAGTCGAGCTCTTCTACTTTTTGGGCGTCTGAGGGCATGTCGACTGATTGGACGAGGACGGCCTCGGTGGCTGCGGTTGGGGGCAGGTTGCTGTCCATTTTTGTCTATCTGAGGTTTTTGATATCTGATGATGATGGCGGGGTTGAGATCCGGGTGAAAATCTCAAGATAGTTTTTGAGAAACAGGCGGAGGATGGAGATATGTGCAGTAAGTCAAACCGAGACTGATGATGCTTGAGTACACTTGGCAGAGTAGACCCAAATTCAAATGGTGGTTACTTCTTCTTATCTTGCCAACGCCTTTTTGGCTTGAATCTTCAGACGAAGCGGGAGTCTGAGTCTCAGAGAATGAGGGACCTTCTTGGCTGCAGTTACACATCCCGCCCCACTTTTAAATGTCGAATCTTGAATGCCACACAGCTGATGCCGTTTGCTCCATGCTCCATCCCATCTACAAAGCCAAGCAACGGCGAGATCTTAGAATTCATCATTGATATCAATAGTCGACGACCGCTTTTCAATGACACTCATCTCAAGATGACTTCGGTGAACGTGCCCTCCCAAACCCGGGCTGACGGATTCGGTGCACTAACATTTAAATCTCTTCTGTGGTTTTACCCGATACCAATGGCATGCGTGAAACAAGCGCAGATGCCGGGACGGTGCATGGCGGGGCTTGTCCCGGAAGGGGCTAGCGTGCGGCGACGCACACCCCCCACAGGGGGCTCCCACAGGGCGGCACCAGGCCGAAAAGCACAGGGAATTGGTTGCTTGTTAGGTGCTTGTGGGTGCTTGTGGGTGCTTGTGGGTTGTTTGTGGATGCTTGGCCTGCCACATTGTGGCCCGTGAGCCCAGTCCTCTCGCTCTCCCGTGTGGCCCGGTGGAGAGGGCAGCAATTCGAGATCAGATCCACCCGACCGTCGTCCAATCTTCATCATTCTCTCTCCATCGCCATCCTCTTCCCAACACCCAAGTTCCTCATCCAAAAAGCGCGTCGCCGACATTGACGAGGTCATCAGCCCCCGCCGATTTTCCACAGAGTTCCTCTCGGAGCAGCACGCTGGCGAAATAAAATAAAATAAAAAAGATAGGCATAGAGAGACCCGCTTGCCAGGCGGACACCAGTGCCACACGCAACCGACCGCATTGAGTTTCCGAGTTTCCAGGTTCTTGGGAAGCAGCCACTTCGACTTCAACATCCGCTTCCACTTCCGCTTGCGCCTCATCAGCATCATCACCTTCGACCAGCAACGGTCGGGCTCGAGTATAGAAGCGCCTCCTCCTATAGACACCACCAGACGGCAGCGTTAGAAGCCAGCCGCCCAGTTGAGGCTCTTTCCCGCGAAGCTCAAGCTTTGTGCCTTCGACCACAACAGCGGACGCCTGTCGGCACTCAACCACCTCGTAGCATCACAACCTCTGCCCTGACATGCGCCTGTCCGATAAGGTGGAAAAGTAACAAGAGGGGCGTTCCCTCCGAGTTAAGATGTACGTTTATCGAATATTTTTTTCCCTCTTGTCACTGTCTGCACCACCTGTCATCGTCATCACATCAACACTGTCGGAGGATTCCTACAATCAAGATGGACCGGTACTGTCACGGCGACGGCCGTTCTTTTGAGCCACCGCCGTCGTTACCCCTCCACAGTTACAGCCGGCATTCTCTTCCTCCACCGCACTGGCACGACCATCATCGCGAATCCAAGTTTGAAAGGACGCATTACTATGACAACCGGCCGCGTGATACACGTCCTACACAGGATCCAGCTCATCCAACTAACTCTTGCCGTGACAGGACGAGGTACACGGGTCAGTATCACCCTGACCGCCGTTCCCGTTCGCCCCGAGACAGATCTCCATATGGTGGCGAGCGTGACCGTGGTCCACCCCAACAGTACCCGGACAATGACCGCAGGCGTCCTATTGACGCGCGGGGAAATCCATCCGGTTTCCCAAATCGGGAAGGATTTCGTAACGAGCCTCCACGCGGGCCCAAGGCGCTGCTAGACGCTCCGAATGGCCCACGTGGCGGGTTTGCTGGAGACTATCGCGGCAGAGGCAGAGGTGGTGGTGGGCGCGGACGGCCCACGTGGGGAAGAGACGATAGGCCAGATGTTGGACGCGACGACCCCCGCGATCGGCCTCACTTTCGAGATGAACGCAGCCGCGAGCGAGACTACCCGAGGGATCGAGAATGGGCTCCGCGTGACCGAGAACACAGCTTCCGCGGCCGAAGAACACCCCCCCCAAGGGGTCGATCTCCCTTAAGACGTGACTTTGACGTGGGTTTGAATGTGGACGCAGAGAGGGCCAGACGAGGGTCCAGAGATGGTCCGTTATCTGCTGGGTCATCAAACTCGGACCCGCCTTTTGGAGGACCCTTCCGAGGTTCATATCGTGGAAGGGGTGGGGGCAGAGGAGGAGGACGTGGGGGCGGTGATTGGGATCGTGGTGGAAGAGGCAGGGGATTCCACGGCGATGACCGTCCTGACCATCGCTTCCCCCGCAGCCATTCCCAGGACGGTCGATATGGACGGGAACCAGATGTTCGAGATCACCGAGAGCCTAGGTACCAGGAGTTCACTAGGGACATTCGAGATGATCGCCCGATGGGAAGAGACAGGGAGCACGATCTCATTCGACCGAAACCGATCGACCGCGTATCCAACGACCCGCCTTCAGCAAAGGACGTTTCGCCTCCTCCCCTTGCGCCTTCAGCCCCCGCCTTTGGCACAGTCCCGAGCCGCCCACCCGCCACGACGGACATTCAGTCAATGACAGGGAAACCACCTCCAACCGGACCTAGAGCGTTAGCGGTGGAGGAGCGGCCACCCTCTGCAGGTCAAGGCGTGAGCAATGATAGAGCCCCTCCTACCGGCCCCTCGAAAATCCACGGGGAAGCTAGTCCCACCATTCCATCTGGACCCCGGGCCCACCGAGATGCCAAGCAGCCCCAAAGGTCTAGCAAACAGTGGATCAATACTGGTGCGTTCAATGCCAAGAAGACGCAGGAATCCCCCAAATCCGCAAGGTCCATGAGCGTGGTCTCGCAGCACCCAAGACCCTTTGGTGGCTTCCGCCCAGAATCCTCCCATACGGACTTCCACAGCGAATACAACAAGCGGCCCCGTAGTCCGGATGCCAAGTCAGATTCACACACAGAGCGATATGGGGGTTTCCGTGGCACCGGTGTCAACGACATCGCCATTGCCTACCAGAGAGGATCTCACTCGGCCAGGGCGTCATTGGACCGTGACATGAGGCTGAGTCTGGATGATGGTGACTTGAAAGTGGGCGCAGCCGAGCCTGTCGTTGAGCGAGCTCAAACAGAACGGCAACCGGACCGTGTCAAGGAACCAACTCCCAGTCCGGTGACGTTGGAAGCTGTTGAGCCCTCCGAGGACAAAATAGAAGAGGCGAAACAGTCGACAGTCCCACCGCCAGAGTCACACCCTCTCGACTTTGACGTCCCTTCATCGGGAGTCAGGCTACAGGAGAAGCACCTGCCCGCGTCGGCGGAAGAGACTGAGGAATCGGACGAGGATGACGAAGATCTTAACGATTATTTTTCGCAACAGGTATCCAAGGCCGAGGCCGAGCTCAAGAAGCTGCACGAGATGGTGGACGGTTCGACCATTCAAATCGTTGCGCGGTATACAACTGTGGAAAATAATGCCATGGTCAGGGTGGTTGTCAGCCCTGTTACCGTCCAGAACAAGGTGAAGCCCATTCCTGATGGTTTCACGTTTCCCCCGACAAAACCGCAACAGGTTGATCCAGTTGAGCCCGAGGCAGCCTTGCCGCAGCCTCAAGTGCAAGATGAGGAGATGCCAGACGCCATGCCTGAGGCGCCGGCGAGCCCTACGATCGAAAAGGCGGACGAAGTGGCCGAGCAGCAGCTTCCTGAGCCACAACCCAAGGTGGAGGACATGGATGTTGAGGGCTCAGCCCTTCCGTCAGTGCCAGCTGTGCAGGACGCTAACCTACATGACGAGGACGTCAGTATGGAGGATGTTTCTGAAGTGCACGAGACGGTGGAGCCTCCGCATCCTCCAGCGTCTGTGAATGGGGAGCCCGGCAGAAATGGCATTCATGCCCCGTTCATGCAAGCTGCCCACACCCCCTCGCACATGGATGACGACAGCGAGGACAGGACAGAGGACGACGGGAGCATCTACGATACTGTCGAGCATGCTCGCGAGTTTTCCGCCACACCGCCAACCGAAGACCTGCCCATCTACAACGTCAAACCCTGGGAGCAGAGCAGACGAGCATTCCGAACTGAGGAGAGCTCCCCCAACTTTGGAAACTTTGTGCTTGCCAGCATCCAACGAGAGACTGCTACCGCCGAGACGGCGCAAGACGTGTCCCGGCGGCAGTATGCTCAAGATTACGAGTCTTACTTGAAGTTTACCCAGTCGGATGACCCGGTTGCCATCAAGAGCAGAGCACACTTTACGAATGAAGTTTCGGTCAAGGAGGCCAAGGGGCCACAATCGGAAAACAAACCAGAAGGCAGAGGGACGCGAGCGCGTTTTGCTACGGAATATGATCTGAAGAAAGCCCTGGAGCAGTCGCAGCGGGAGTTTGCCGAGAGGCAGGAGCGGGAAGACCGAAGCCAGAAGGAAAAGTACCGCACGGACAAGGAGGCGGTGATCCCTGACATGCTGTGGACCACGGCAGAAAAGGAGCAGGCCTCATTTTATGATACTGCCGGCAAGCTTCCCTTGGAGAAACTGGTGGCCACTTGGGACGTCGTTCCCTGGCATGTCAACTTCACCGAGGAGGAGGCCGAAAAGTTTGAGAAGGCCTACCTGGAGTTCCCCAAGCAGTGGGGCAAGATTGCAAAGGAGCTGCCCAACCGCGACACCGGCACTTGTATCCAGTATTACTATGCCATGAAACGGGAGCTGGGGCTCAAGGAGAAGCTCAAGAAACAGCCAAAGAAGCGCAAGAAGGGTGGACGTGCTAAGCAGCGCTCCAGTGCTTTGGTGTCGGAGTTGGGCAATGGTGAACACGAAACCGAAGACGCCACTCAGGAAACTGGCGAGAACGGTGAGCGTCGCCGCCCTCCCCGTCGTGCTGCCGCTCCCAACTTTGGCGGCAACGAGGCCACACCGAATGCCGACTCGGACGGCGCAACCCCGGCTGCCACCCCGGCCCGGAGGAGAGGCGGTACTGCAATTGAGGGTGCCAAGAACGACAGCGGGGCCGAGAAGGCAGAGGGCAAGAGAGCCCGGGGCAGAAAGCAGGTCAAAGACAAGGCTGGTCAAGATGCCAAGGGCATGAAACCCGCACCGTCAACACAAACCCCGGTGCCGCTTCCGCTACCTGTGCCGAGCAACAAGGGCGGTCGATCACGGGCCAACTCCAAGGCTCAGGGCCCCGAGTGGGCTTCCCCCCAGACCCCTGTCGACATTGCTGCCCGGCCCCCGGGACACTTTGAGGCGCCTCCCGGGGGCATGCAACCGCCCCTGGCCCCCGTTCAGCAGCCGCCGCTGTCAAGCCCCGAGAGGGCAATGGGCCCGATGCAGTCGACCATGTCCGAGGTCATGGCAGCGCCGTCCCTCCGGCCAGAGCCGCCGCTGTCCCAGACGTCAGTCCCCACATTCGACATCCCTCAGCCAGCCGGGCCCGATCGCACTCGTACCCCACAGCAGGCGTCGAGCTACTGGAGCGTTTCAGAGTCAAACGACTTCCCCGGTCTGCTGCGGGCTTTTGGCACCGACTGGAACGCCATTGCTGCCCATATGCAAACCAAGACAGCCACCATGGTACGCCCAACCCCAACAGCCTTTTCTCTTTCCCATCCCACCCCGTTCCCGTCCCCATACCCGTCCCCGTCCCCGGACATGACAACTAACTACTCGGACTTGCAGGTCAAAAACTTTTATATGCGTCAGACCAAGGAGGGTGGCAGGAGGGAGACCAATGTGGACTGGGAGCACATTGCTACCGAAGCCGACGCCAAGCTTCGTCGCGGGGAGAAGCGTCCTGCTCCGCCGACACCGACCCAAGGACCCCGGAAGAGATATGATGTGCCGACGGGACACCGGCCCCTGGCTGCTGCCGAACCCGAGGAGCACACGCCTACCAAGATTGAGCCGATGCCGGCGAACAACCACTTTACGCGCTTCCAAATACCGATCGCACAGGCCGCTCCCGTGTCACATCCGATGGCTCAAACTACCCAGCCTGTCATGTCCGCACCGCTGACTTCATCGGCCGCCGTGCAACAGCAAGCCCCACCCACCGGACCAGTTGTCACACAGGCCATGTCACCGCATCTTCACCCTCTCCGACCACCGGCCCCGCCTTTTCCCTTTCAGCAGCAGCAGCAGCAGCAGCAGCAGCAGGAGAGGGAACCCGAGCCGACGCCGCCGCCAGTGTTGTCTCAGCATCCGCACCCGCACCCGCACCCGCAGCAGCCCCAACCACAGCAACAGCAGCCGTCTCAGATGCCCCGGCAAACTCCGCAGCCCGTGCCGATTTCCCAGAAGGCCCCTGTGTCTGCTGCCCCGATTGTGCCCGTGTCAGACGCTGTGCCTCCACCGGCAGGCTGGCCATCGTCCAGCACCTTCTCACTGCTGGGGCAGCCCAAGGACAGTCGCGACGGCCGCCATGCTGCTGAGAGAGAACGTCAACCCATGGGTCTTGGTCAGCGTGAGCCACCACGGCAAGCAGAGCGGGCGCCACCGTTGCGCATGAAGCAGGATCCTGATCAACCTCCTCACACCCCAGAGGCTTACCCGGCATACCAGCCGCCACGCACTGCTCCACCTCGGAGCGAACCAATCCCGCTGGCAAGGCAGCCAGAACCACCACATCGTGTCACACCAGCTGCCCCCATGTATGGACCCAGCATTCAGGGCCAGCCCATGCGAGGACTTCTCAACGACCCAGTGCCTACCCAGCAAGCACCTTCTGTGGGGCCGGGCATGGAGAGGCCGCTGTCAACAGCCCAGAGACCGGCGGCGGTGTCGATGCAGGAGCACTTTGCGCCCATTCCAGCTTCTGCTCCTCCGGTTCCTCCACCACAGCCTGCGCCAGCCGCCCCGCGACCACCGGAGCCACGCAAGACCAGCAACCTCAACTTCCTGCTCAACGATGACCCTCCACCCGCCCCAAAGCGTATCGCCGACGTGTCGTCCATGGGCGTGAAGCCGAGCTCAACGCCACCACCTCAGCCGATGGCTGCTCGCCAGCCGCCTCCCCCAACATCAGCTCCGGCGCCGCCAAGAAGAGAGGAGGCTGGTTACCCATATGCTCGCAACCCACCGCCCTCGCACCAAGGTCCTCCTCCCTCGGCTATCCCCCCGCTGAAGCCGAGCTACCCTGCACAGTCGCCGCGGTCTGGACATTCACGGGCGCCGAGTGCCAACATTGTTCCCTCCATGGACCCTGCTCTGGAGCCATCGCGAGCGGAATATTATCCGCGCCACTATGCTCAGCATCAGCCAAGTGCAACTAATTCTCCTCAGCCACACACGGCTCATCACTATGGTCAGCCTCCTGCTCAGCATCCCCAGCTTTCACAGCAGATGCCTCAACATCAGCATGCTCAGCAACAGCCACCGCAGCCGCCACAGCCGCAACAGCACCCGCAGCAGGCTCAGATGGCGTATCCACCACAGGGCTATCAGGGATATCCCGTCAGCCAAGCGCACGCTCCCTCTCCTACACCTCAATATGCTCCTCATCCTGGCATGGCGGTAAGGAGGGAGCCACAGCCCCAAACCGGACGCGAATCTTGGTCGCAGCCCCCGCAAGTATCAACTAGCCAACAGCAACAGATGATTCAGCAGGAGCAGCAGGAGCGGGAGCGACAGCGCCAGCAGATGCTCCAACAGCAGCAGCATGCCCATGGCCATCAGATTCCTCAGCAGCCTCCCCAGCAACACCAGCCACCCAGCAACTGGCCGCCATCTCAACAAGGGACCCCGCAAAAGCCGAGCCAGCCTGTTCCCGCGCACACGGCTTGGGGAGTTCAGCATGGTGTACAGGCCAAGCCACCTGTCACCAGCTCGGTACCGTCGCAGCAGCAGCATGCTTGGGCACCAACAGGCTCTCATCAGCAACAACCCCAGCCGTTCAACCTGAGGGAGAGTCGTGGTCCTCCTGTATATCCCCACGAAACGCAGAGCCCAACGGCCGGCATTGTCCATCATCAACACCAGGGCTCGATTGGAAGCGGTAGGTACGCTCAACCCCAACAAGATGCAAGACGAGAGCCTGGTCCACCAACCCAGCCATTCCCTCGGTACGCCACTCCCGGCCCCGGCCAGACTAGAGATCCCGGCGCCAGGAGTTACACCCCTGTGAACTCGTTTGATCCTCGTGGCCCGCCGCCGCCGCCGCAGGCATATGGTCAGCCGGATATGAGGGACGCTCACATGCGAGAGGCACAATTTGGCAGAGATCCCAGGGAGATGGGCAGGGACCCAAGGGAGATGGCCAGAGACCCTAGGGAGATGGGAAGAGATCCTAGGGAAATGGGACGTGATCCGAGAGAGATGGGCAGGGATCCTAGGGACATTGCGAGGGAGCAAGCGCAGGCCCAGGCTCAAGCTCAGCATCATGCTCAGGTGCAGGCTCAGGGACCGCCCCGCGGCCCGGTTCAAGGTCAGGGGACGACACAGGCGCAGGCCCAGCTTCAGGCGCAGCAGAGGATACTGAGACCGCAGGAGGGTTATGATCGGCCTCCTCCTCGAAGGGAGGGTTATTGAGGGGCGTGATCAGAATGACTTGTCCTTGCGCCTCGAAGCGTTCCTTTACGGTTTGATGGTTACATTACAGGGGAGGGAGGCCAGTCTCGAAGGCGCTGCGGCCCTTCTCCAAGCGTTAGTTGGGTTTTATTCGGGTGAAAAGATGAGCGATGATTTGGAAATCAGAGATAAAAGAAAACAAGCGCATTGTTGACTGGGAACCGAGAAAAGGGACAGTCCGATGGAAGAAAAACTGGGGGGGAAAAGCCAGGAATAGTCAGCGGGTTGGGTTTATATGGTTTTTATCGTATGGCTTTTTGTTACTTTTATAAGGCAGGCTTCTGGAATTTGGGGGGGGGGGGGGAGGGCATGATTCAATGGAGCGGTTTCTGCGTTTTCATTTGGTGGGGATGGGGAGGGGAGGTTTCGGGGGCGTTCATTATAGGGGGTTTAGGATGAAATGGTGTTTTTTGTTAGATGTAGTCTATAAGGAATGTTTATGGTATGGCTTTGTAATTTTTGAGGTTTCTGTGACATTGCCATCTTTTGTTGTGTTTTCTCCTCGAGTTGGGGTAATGTTCATGTTCAATTTTGTTTCATTGTTTGGTTGCGCTTGCACTTTGTTGGTGTCTTGCTATGGTTTGTCCAGAGTTATAGGCCAGGGAAGCCATTACCGCACTATGTCCCAGTCCTCTTATCCCTGAAGTGTTCTCCATTACAACTTGGAGTAAATCACCTCTTCAAACTCCTTGATCAACGGCCTAACTTGCAAATCCCCCGGCTGGACAATCTGCGTGGCGAAAATACCGCACACGCCCGCCTCCCGGTCGATGAACTGTATCCCCATGATGTCAGCATATTTCTTTCCCCCTTTTCCTCAAAGTTTGGCCCTACTCACCCAAGCAAGATTAAAAGCCCCACCCCACTGAACAAACCCCCTTTTCCTCCCTCTATTACCCGTCGTCCCAGGCTCAGCAGTAACCAACCCAGCAGGACTCCAATCGTACTCTGCTCCCCCCTCCACAGGGTTGACCCACCCCACCATCCAATCCCTCCCCTCCCCCTTTAGACTCTCATTCAAGACCTTTTTGCTCTCGGGTGTCAAACACCCCCCAAATAACACCGCCTGCCACTCCGGCCTCAGCAACCTGCTCTTATTTGGCTCCAGAAAGTCAGCGAGGATGGTGACATAGGCCTTCATGCTCCCAAACCCCCCCTCCCCCCCCATAGCCTCATTCTCTGCCGGACTATCCGCCAGCTTGTGATGGGAAAGTTTCCCCTTCCCCCGGGTCGTCATACCCGCTCGGCGTCCGTCGAGGGCGTCGTACCGAGCAGGATAAAAGGTGATCTCCCCCCTTTTGATCCCCAACACTGACAGGATATTATCCTGCAAGTAAATCTCTAGCTTGACACCAGAGAGCCTTTCTACCAACAAACCCCCCCAGTCCAGTCCCGAGCCGTAGACCCATCCCTTTCCGGGTTGGAACGACAACGGGTAAGAGCACCGCTCGGGTACTGTACTTCCCCCAACCGGGGTCAAGGGGACGGGGACGGTCTTGTTGGTGATGGTGGTGAGGTAGGTTACCACGTCGGGGTTGTTCCAGGTGTAGGAGCAGCCTGACGAGTGGGTCAGGAGGTGTTTTAAACAGTAACGGTTCTGTTCGTGGAGACAGAATTGGTTGTCCGTCGGGGGTGAACCCGCTCAA